CTGTTTTTCATCAATATATTATAGGTCTCAGATATATACTGTCTCTGAAGTGTAATAGGGGACCTTTAAAGAACCGGACCTTAGAGTGCAACTGTAATGCTGATGTTGCCCGCGATGAAACTGAGTTTGACCCCCCTGCATTAGGAGGTCAAAGACACCGTTTTTGGAGCCCTGCATCTTGTACGAAAGCCGATGAGACAAAACGTAGAAATTGAGTTTGACCCCCTGCTTTACCTGGTCCTCGTCTCCAATGGCGGCGATGTATCCCAGAATGCTGTGCATCTCCTCCTGAGACATGCCCTTGCTGATGTAATACTTGATGAGTCCGCAGAGAGACGCCCGGATGGTTCGAATGTCATCCTCACTCAGGTCACCATCTCTATGGCTGTTCTTCCCGACGTGCAGAGAGCATATTATTGAGACAATACTTCAATACGTTGGACAGGTCTGGGCTTTAAGGAGTGGAGTCTCACCCGTAATAAAGGCGTATGGTGTCCAAAAGAAACTGAACTCCATATTTTTTTCTGAACAGCTTCCTGTTGTCTTTGATGACGGTGGACATGTACTGGATATGACCTTCACAGAAACAAAGGAGGACAAGTTAGACACACACACACACACACACACACACACACACACACACACACACACACACACACACCCCCACATCCATTACCACATTGAAAGTCTGTAGGTAATGAAGAACGTCCTCTACAGTAACAGCAGGACAAGCACTTTTAATACTCCCTCCCCTCACTTAGGAGGATCAAGCTGCACCCTTATTAAATACCGTATTGACTTCTTACATGTTGAACTCAAATACCTGTACTTTCTAGTTCTTACATGTTGAACACAAATACCTGTACTTTCTACTTCTCTCATTTTGAACACAAATGGACTGTGTGTACTTCTACTTGAGTAAAGGATGTGTGTACTTCTACTTGAGTAAAGGATGTGTGTACTTCTACTTGAGTAAAGGATGTGTGTACTTCTACTTGAGTAAAGGATGTGTGTACTTCTACTTGAGTAAAGGATGTGTGTACTTCTACCTGAGTAAAGGATGTGTGTACTTTCGCCCCTCCCTCACCTGCGCTACAGATGGCTTTCACGTGGCTCGCCTGCAGGGGTTCGTGGAACACCATGACGCTGCCCAGTTGTCCCTGAAGGGAGGTGGGACTCCCCCACTCGCTGTCCTGCGTCCCTGCAGAGATCAGCTTGGTGACGGACTCCGGCTTTCCTCCCAGCAGCCCCCCCCACGTCTGAGGAGACAAGATGGCGCCCAGCGAGGAGCGAGTGGTGGGGGTGGAGGCGGAGGAGAAGGGAGGGTCTGGGATCTGTGAGGGAGGAGGAGTGGTGGTCCGATGTCCCGCCGAGCCGATGCAGCAGGAGATGAACGGCTGAGGAGAACAGGGGGGGCACATGGTATTCATTTTGCACAATGTTGTCTCAAGCATTGCAAGGAGCATTTCAGACTTCAAAGTATTATCTGTTGTCATAGAAAGTGTGAAGGAAATGTCTCACCTCTGTCATGGTGGGATATTTGAGGGGGGCCGACAGTTTCTGCTGTCCATCCACATAAATGTAGACCAGACTCTGTCCAAAAGGCCTCTTCCCCGGTACGTGCACCACCCCGATGCTGTGCTGTAGACAGGAAGGCAGAGGGAATATCCTTCCTTTAATTAGTCTGCAAGACGTTAGTAATCTTGTAAATATAGGGTCCAATCTGTGTTGCCAGATAGAAACAGGCAATAATCTACATTTCCACATTTCAGTGGCACCACCAGTTAGGTAAATATATGTCATTGAAGCGGACTCACCCAGAGGGAGTCACAGAAGCAGTAGTCGGGCAGCATGACGGTGACGTACTCCTTCTTGGTGCAAACGGCCACCACCAACACACCCTCTGAGCTGATGAAGGCCTCGAACCCCGTCCCTCCGGGGGTGAAAAAGCTTTAAAACACAGGAGAAACATTTGAAGGGACGAACTGAACATGCTCCAATACTCTCTGGATTAAACTGGAAAGGGGAGTCTTACTTTACACCTGAACTTTTGTACTACTTGCACTGCTTTAACTATTGTGTCTGTGTTATGGTGTTGCTCTGTTGGACCTGTAGCTGTACACATGACATAAAAGCCTTGAATTGGATCTTGAATCTGCTGCTCACCTGTACAGCTGCTTCCTCTTGTCCTTGCTCATTGGTCCCAGCTGGTCCTGATCCAACGACAGCCAGGCGATGAAGCTGAACGCGGCACCGGGCCATCGCTGCACCGTCGGAACCACGATGCCCGCCATGCTGGGCGACAAATCAAAATACTGCATGGCGCTCTCCAGGCCCTGCTTCCTCACCATGGCCAGCAGCGATCTGAGAGCAGGACCCACATACGGGTGGGCTTTACTGGACTCGTGAGGTCTGAGGAGGCGTAGGAGTCCCAGGAGTTCTTTGGCGCTCAAAGACTGGGAACCCAACGAACCCACGAGCACAAAAAGACTCTCGGCGCAGGATCGGTTTAGCCTCTGATGGCTTTCCAAACCAGAAAGCGCTCGCATCACCATGGCGGCGTTTACACACGTGGCGCGGGTTTGATGGTTCAAACAGCTGAGGCGCCGCAGCCAATCGGACGTGAAGAGCTGCTGCTCCGAGGAATCGAGCTCTGGGAGCCACTGGACCAGCAGGAGGAGAGGATCCACGTTACTGATGCCCAGCAGCCCCACGGAGGTGTGCTCCCCCTCCACCGCCTGCAGAAACACACACAGAAACACACCAACAGTTTCAAGGACACCCAAGGACATTTCAATACCTTCTCTAAGACGTGAAATGCAAAACAAAGACACCAAAACAATTCATAATAATACATTTTATTCAATGGCGCACAAAAGGGCTGTATTTCAGACACTTAGTGAGTCTACTGACACAGGGGACACATATTTATGTATAAAAGACATCAAAAAGTGCATTTTGCGTGATAGGAGATCTTTAAGGAGGCCTTGCACGCCACCCAAGGACACATTACAATTAAACACATCATTTAAGAGATTAAGATAGAGATTATTTAAGGGCGCCTTTCACGAAACCCAAAGACACCCAAGTACAAATCAATAAATACTCTAAGACAGGGGTGTCAAACTTAAGGCCCGGGGGCCAAATCCGGCCCGCCACTTCATTTGATGTGGCCCACAAGAGCTTGCAAATAATATAATACATTTACTATAAGGTCACGTGCCGCTTTACAGGAGCACGTTGCTCATAAACTACATGTCCCACAATGCATCTCATTTTGTGAGATGTGCACTTACTCGACTTCTGCTTTCAGGCCTAGTTAATTATGAAGTTATTACCCTATAATAATCCAATGCGGAGGAAATATTGTAAAATTATGCATTATTTTATATATATTATATATATTTATCTATGTATATTTATATAGTCTTAAAGTTACCACCGGCCCTTTGAGTGAAACCATAATTCTAATGTGGCCCGCGATGAAATTGAGTTTGACACCCCTGCTCTAAGAGGTTAAAGGCAACCAATGATGGTTTAAAAAAAAGATTCTCCATTCAAAACAAAGACACTGAGGGTGTTTCTCAATCTCGAGGATGCTTGCTTGGTAGCACATGTCTTCCGAGCATCTTTCTTCAGAAGCGAGGCAAGAATCCTTCCTGGCATTCGGAAAACGAAGAGTGGAACAGGCTAGCAAGTGTGTGTGTCATATGAGAGGCCCCGCCTTACATTTTAAGCATTGTGGGGATTTTAAGACCGCGGAGTCTACTCATGTGCAGCCTCGAAATTTCTCCAAACGAAGTACGCCGGGCTCGGTAGAATTCCAAGTATGCTGGACATTGGAACAGTCCTTCGGCGGCACTCGATGACGTAGCATGCTTGAAATAGTGGCTCTGGAGCATCCTTCCTCGAC